TTATGGAATGCTATAGAAAAGGATTAACAGGTTTACAAGCTGTATATGTTTTAAAAAAGTATAAATCACATAGAACTATTCCAGATTTTGTTTTTGAAAATATTGATGAATTAATAAAATAAAGTTTTTCTCTCAGTTTAAACTTTAATCTTAAATTTATTAAATTATATTATCGTGTGATATAAATTTTAGCCAATCACAAATCAGTATTATGCTTATCACGTGATTATATAAATTTTTGAAATTTGAAACAACTTGATGGCTTTTTATGGAACACACTATACAAGAACTGAAAAAATAATTCACGTGATATTTATTAGTTACTTTGCAGAAATGAAAAATAAGATCAATAAGTAATGTGATTACAAGACTTGATGAAATTAAACAAGAATATCAAATCAATTTTACTAGAATTTCATCAGAGTTTACCACAATAAATGCTACTATTCAAGTTCTTGTAAGTAATATTATTTGACACAATGTAGATAGTAACGTGCGTTTACAAAAATTATTGAGGAAAAGATTGATTCAATGGATCTAGGATACTATGAATTTTTACTAAAGAAAATAAGAAAATGCAAGTCATTTGTGTCGCTCTGACAAAAGTTTTAGAGATTCCAAATGAGTAAGCGATTTTTTTTTGCTAAAAAATTATTCATATTAATCAAATTTTATGTTTTTGATGCTTAGTTTTGTGAACAAATCATATGTCACGTCTTGTTAAAAATATAAATTTTTAATTCATATAAACTATAAAGAAACAATATATATATTTTTTATTATTTTAATAAATTTGATATAATAATATATATATATATATATTTTTTTTTTAATTGTTCTAAATTGTTCAAATAAAAACCTTCAAAAACTCCAATCATCATCATATAAATCACGAAAAAAATACCCATAAATAAAAAAAAGAATAACATAAAATACATAAAATATATATAAAATAAAAATAAATAAAAATAAAAAATGCTTAACTATTAACAAAACTGAAAATGCTATAAAAAATGCAAAAAAAAAAAAGTTCAACGGAAATACGGAAATGCAAAAAAATTATTACAATTGAAATGAAAAAAAAAAAATGCAAAATTTCAGTGCTTGTAAAGAAAAAAAAATAGAAAAATATGTGCATTCAATCAATAGTAAAATAGTAATAACAATGCAAGAAAGCATCTTTTTTAATTAAGTTTTTTTTTTTAAAAAAAAAAAAAATAAAGCATTTTAAGAAAGGACACGAAAAAACTAAAAGTCAATTAAAAAAAATTTTTTTTTTGTTGGTTTTAAATAACTCGTCAATTACATGATAAACTATTATTAAAAAAAGTTCTTCTTAAATAAAAATCATAAATTTTTTTTTTTTTAAAAAAAAAAAGCCTAAAAAATAATGGAATTAGTTTTTTTTTTTTTGTTTGTTGTTTTTTTTTATTATTTCTTAACCTTTGAAACTTTAGTTGTTGATGCCTTCTTAGGTTTATCTTTGCTCGCAGCAGTTGGTTTACGAGCGGGAGTTTTTGATGTCGCTGATTTAGTTGTTGAAGTTGTTTTCTTCTCGCGTTTTTCTGTTGCTGCAGCTTCCATCTCTTTGATGAGTGATTTTGATTTTCTACGATTCTTTGTGCATCCGGTTTCATCTATAAGATGTGCTTTCCAACCGGCTTCAGTCGCAGGCTTAACAACTGTCTTACAAAGAGGGCAGCGAACGATATCTTGTCGTATTGCCATACAAGACTGTTTTGCCATGTGTTCAAGGAAATCATCAGCTTCAATGACTTCGCGACATCGAGGACATTGTTTAACAAATTTACTCTTGTCACAATCGTTTAACATATGATCATCTAGAGTAGAAATCTCGAGAATCTATAAAAAAATGATGGTATTTAGTTAATCAGTTAGGTTAACAAATTCATAACCTCTACACTTACAATGTTGCACAAACGACAATTGGTCAATACTGGACAATCATTCCAATAATGTGTAACCAAGTTTTCCTCTGTGTACCTTTCATCGTGTTCATCACAGAAAATACAGCATCTAAATAATAATTAGATTAGAATAGACCGTTATCAATGATAGGTAAAATGAATTTAGTAAAGGTTTGTCTTACCTATCACTCTTTGATTCATCAGGCTCATCAGTTAAGGGCTCGGAAGTTAATTTGCTTGGTACTGTTGAAGGGTCTAAAGAAATGATAATAAAATAAGTACAACAAACTTATTAAATTAAATGTTATTTACATATATGTAAATCCATACTTGAATTATTAGCAGAGGGTTTCCTTGCACTTTTTGATGTTGATTTTGCATCATCTGTTGATCCTCTTCGAGCTACGGGTTTAGCAGCGACCGATTTTGATGTGGAAGTTTTCTTACTAGGAGCGGCTTTACCATCATCTTTTGATTTCTTTGCTGGAGCAGCTTTACTAGGAGCTGTCGATTTACTTCCACGAGAAACTGGAGTTTTCTTGCTGGCTGCAGTAGCCTTGCCTCTTGGAACGGAAGGAGTTTGGCCACGACTTGGTTGTCCTCTACTTTCAGCTTCGGCTTGAAGTAATAGTTGTTCCTCTAATTCTGCTGCTTCTGCTGCTTCAATTTCCGCAACTAATTGAGCTTCCAATTCCAATTCCTCTAATTCATCTAATTCATCTTGGAAATGTGCTTTTGTAGTATTAGCGAGATAATTATCATATTCATCCTTAATAATGTGATTTGTAGTATTCATCCTGAACCGTAATTCCATCAATTGCTGTTCTAGCCGATTAACTGTTCCGCGTTTCGCCAAGGGTTTTTGAAGCAACACTTCGTCAACATCATAATTCTTCAATGCGGCCTTTTCTTCTTCTGTCAAACCTTTAGGTTTATGTTTGGGTGAAGGTGGGGGGGAAGGAACTTCACCTATTAAATATAAAAAATAATTCATTCATTATCATCATATAAATGGTTAGATAAGATTAGATGAACATTATCTATCCTACTTTACCTGCTACTTTGCCTGTCGTTGTTTCCCATTCGGCCACAAGGTTCCAAATATTTTCTAATAATGACGTTTCGACCTCCGCAACATATGATTCAACATTCTGTTTACCAATGCGTTTAACGATTTCAACCACAAGCTTTACTGCTCCATCGCGTACATCATCGTGATGATTGTTTAAATAAGATATTGATACTTCCATAAGAGCCTGATCAAACACAGAAGTATGTAAATAAACATTAATCCAATTTTTTTTTTTTTAAAAAAAAAAAAAAAAAAAAAAAAAAAAAAAAAAAAAACAAATTAAACTAGTTTAAACGATTGAAATACAGCAAAGTTACATAAAAAAATATATATATATATAAGTATTAAAAGTTTTAAAGAATTCACCACATTCCAAAAAATTAATTATGATACCCTTGAAATGTTTACAGAAAAATATTACTACAAAATACTATCCATTTTTGTAAAGACATTTAGAACAGCGGCTACGACTTCAATTTGTAATTCTTTCCCTTCAGGAATATCAACTTTAGCTTTTTTTGAAAAAGGCCAAACAGAATATTCACTTAATAAATCATCAACTTTTGTATAAGCTTTTTCTCTTAATTCATGATTTAACTGTAATAAAGCATTTTCCAATACATTAGCAGCATAAGCAGCGCATACCATTGATATAGTACGTAAATCATTAAAAGGTACATCGGAATTTAATGATGATGTTGTAGCTGCAGTAGAATGATTGACATGAGTTAAAGTTTTAATGACTCTATTAACGATCTCATCTTTTGCTGAAGAATCACTAACAGGATGGGTTGCCATATCAAAAAGTAAAAAATTCCTCTTTTCAGTTCTTAAAATTCCTTTATCTACTAATCCTTTTGCTAAACGTTCTCGTACTTGTTTTAATTGGTATCCAATTTTCATTACATTCCAAGTTTCTCCTATAAATTTTTTTTTTTTTTTTTTTTTTTTTTAAAAAAATTAAAAAAAAAGGTAAATTCAAAATTAATAAACTCGTCAAGAAAAGTACGAAAATTCTTTTTCATTTTATCAGACATACAAACTCACCACTCATCAGATCAATCCAACTTCCAACACTCATATGTTCACTAGATTTCATCATTTTTAATGCTTCATCCAACAATACTTCATTTGTCCCCTTTTCATCAATGACTTCTATGAACCTATCTGAAAGGGGCCATTTTCGACGAGCTGCTTCTTTAACCATGGCTATTCGACCACGAAAAGCAAGTTCCATAAGAATACATCCTCTTAAAGTATAAGAAATATTATCATTCCAGAATGAGAGGTAGCCCTGATCAAAAGTTTTTATTTATATATGAAAAAGAAATTATAATACAGGTATCATGTTTTATAAGATATAAAAAAATTTTTTTTTAGTCAATTTCTAATTTTATTTTTTTTTATTTTTTTTATTTTATAATCATATTGCTCCTCGATCATCTTTTGTTGCAAAAATAATGATAATGATAAATTGTCCAATTGACCTTATTAAAATAATAAATACGTTATATTTCGTAGGATGACAAATGTTAAGAAATCAAAGCTTTCTACTTGAATTAAAAAGGCATTGTATTCTACAAAGTCATTGATAATTTTTTTTTTGTTTTTTTTTTGTTTTTTTTTTTTACCCAATAATTCACCTAACAATTATTTAACAATTACCATTCAAAAATCACAACAGTTGATATAATTGAATGTATAGGATAAAAAGAATATTCGACCAGAGCGAATTAAAAAATTAAACCATACCTGTTTATCTTTTAAACCTAATAAAAGAACTTCTTCCATGAGTGTTAAATTAGGTTGTTTCTTGTCTTCATCGTCAAGTATTTCATTAGGATCAACTGCAATCCTAACACCACTTGAAAGAGTTCGATCTAGCGTTGTCGGCATATTATTCTCGTTCGAGGACGAATTAGAATTAAGAGCTCCAGCATTTCGTCTTCTTTGTAAACCACTTGCTGAAGCTGAAGACAGAGACATGTTATAATTAAAAACCCTCTCGAATTTCCATTAGTTTCATTTGTTAACTGATAGTTTAAAATCGGTGTTACAAATTCGTTACGCAAGAAAATCAGGGTTCAATACCAATCATTTTATATCATGCTAATCTCCTAATTTTAGAACACGAAAAAAATATTATGGCCGTTTTTTCCGAATTAACGTAGTATGATCAGGTGATTTTGTTGATCATTTATTATCCGAAAACGCCGAAAATAAAAAACACTTTCTATTTTTGTATCCTGATCATCCATGTTAAAAAAATATATCAAAAAGTTAAAAATCCAAAATCTGAGTAACAAATATTTTTTAAAGATAAAGAAATTTAGTAGATTATGATAATAAATGTATCATATTTTACATTAAAGAATTAGAAGATAATTTATTTTTGAAGAAGAGAATATTTTTAAAAGATAATTTTTCTTTTGAGAAAAAAAAAAATATTAAAGAACTTAAAATACAAGTTATTTTTAAAGAAAAAATGTATTTGTAACATGTTACATATTTTATTTGTAACATCCTTTTTTATTTTTCTTAATAATAAATTATTCTAAATATTTTATAAATAAAATTTTTATATGCAAAATTTAATTTGAAAAACTTTTACTTAATGTATAAAAGATAGCTTCATAGATAAAATTTTCAGTTATAAACAGTTTCTTGAAATTTTTAAAAAAAATTTTTTTTTTGCTAAATTATTTATGTTACACCTGATTTTAAATTTTGATTGAATAAAATTGAGGTTGTTACAAATAAGATGTGTAACATGTTGTTACAATTAGATTCATCTATTTTTAAAAATAAAAATATAAAACATAACAAAATCTTTAATTATTTAACCTATTGGTTATAAAAATTTTTTGAAAAAAATAAATTCAGTAATTCAAAAAATCTTGAAAAAAAAAATACAATAAAAGATTATATTATATTATATAAAATAGTAAATACATATAAATCTTGAAGATTTTTAAGAATTTATTATGATTATAAAAAAGTAATTATTATTATATAAAAATGTTAATAATAATTAGTATAAAAATTTATTTAATAAATAAAAAAAAAATTTAACTAATAATGATAAATTATAATTAATAATTAAATTTTTTTTTGAATTTCTAATAAAAATAAATAAAAAAATCTCACATTATTAGTATTATATTTAGTCCTTTAAAGTGCTTATAAGTGATAAGTAAAATAATAATTCAAATAGTAAGCAGAAGGTTAATTTTGTATTTGATTTAAAAGTAGTATCAATCAATAAATGGTTTATTTAATAATAATAACAATTAAATACTGCCTTAATCAATACTCTGTATTATACAAATATGTTAAGTAAATTATCTAATAAAATTATCTTTTAGACACACTACTAAGCTAAAAAAAAACATCTTTCATTTATATAAAATAAAATACATAAACTTATCGATAATAAAAGATATAAAAGAAATAAATAAAATAAATATAGTACAGCCAACTCTTGTTATAACGAACTCTATGTTTTAGACTTCAACATCGCTATAAGACTATAGTGAAAATTTTAAGAGATTTGATTAAACAATTCGCTATAACAAGAGTATTTTTATTATATTTATTCAAAAAATTCATTATATCAAAAATTTGCTATATTGTTATATGAGTCAATTGCGAAGTCTACTGACTGAAAAATAGACTTCAACGTGTATAGCAACATTTTAGGTATCTGAAGGATAATAATTTATGTAACAATCCTAAAGTCTTGTTGGCGTCAATAGAATTATCAATGTAATCATTACAATCAATATATATGTTTATATAGAAGAGCAATAATGATGGATTGGGTTTTATGTTACGAGTTTAACTAATTAAAGTTATAAGGAAAAAGGTTAGTTTTATTAATTAGAGAAATTAGAGTCAATACCATTTAATAATTTAAATAAGCTCTTGTTCGCGAACTTACAAATTAAAGAATAAACTATAAAATAAAGCTGTATTAGAAAATCTATCTAATAACTAATATCAAGACTATCTAGCTTGATCTCACTTAAAACTAACTAACTTGTTGACTTTTTCTAACTGATGAGAATATATAAAATTCCTATCCTATTTATATAAAACTTTGGGTCTAATTCCATTACTAAATTAAGATAAAGTACAACTTAATAAATTACAGAAACCTTGTAAACAATGTACAGAGGGTGGACAAAAGTATTCGCACACCTTCTATAACGTAAATTAATGCTAGTAAAATCATATGACCACAATAACAAATTGCATTTACATAACACTTAAGTGTTTATTTATATTATAAAAATAAAAAGAATAACAATTTATTTTTTTTTAATAAATTTTTCTTCTTCGAAAATCTAAAAAAAAATGGTAAAAACTAAAGAATTAACTCAATGATTTTTCAAGCGAAAAACAATCTTCATACATTATCTTAGCCAGCTCAAAGTCCCGATCTTAATCCAATTGAGAATCTTTGGGCTGAAGTCAAGAAAAGCATCTGAGCTTATAAAAAACCTCTATCTAATTTGACTAATATGTTAAAAAGGCTTGGCAAGAAATTCTGAAGCATACTATCGAAACCTAGTCGATAGTATGCCGCAATGAATTCAAGCTGTGATTGCAGCAAATGGTAGTACAACTAAATACTAGTTACTTAGTACAAAATGTAGATCTTAATCAGCTTTAAATAAAATATTAATTGACCGTTTATTGTTAATGCAAAAAAATTATAAGTTTTATATTGACTGAAAAAGTGTGCAGATACTTTTGTCTACTCTCTGTAAAATAAAGTGAAAGATATAAATAAGAAATCTAAACTAAACCGTAGCTACCCCTCGTGACTCTGTTTCAAGCCCATTTGAGCTGACCAATCACTGACTTTTCCCTCCAAGAAGTCCACTAAAACCATTTCTAATGAACAACTCGTCAATGAGAAAAGTTAATGAAATTGTCAATATCACAACGCTATTTCTTTAACTAATCACTAATACCCTAACTAAAAACAAAAAATTTACACTCTCTAGAACATATAAATCTGAGATTAGTTTCTGAAAAAAGAAAGGTTAAAAAGATAACTAACTCTAACAAATTCCTAGTTAAAATACCTGGTTAATTCCAAGTTACAGTGACCTCTCACAACAAGAACGCCCAAAACACTAAGTCCCATTGGAGGCTCTTTAGATATCTCAAACTTCTATGTTGATATATCTGTCAATTCAGATTACAGCCGCCGGCAAAAGCACAGAGCCCAAAACACATAGTTGTGAGAACTGAAAAATTCCACTAAGATCAGTGGACTCTATGACGTCAGAAAATCTTCAAAAGAATGTTGTTGTTTATGAAGGTAATTGGATAGTTATCACGTGAGATTTGTTTACGCCCAAAGATATGTCAATCCTGATCATCATTTCAGATACCCCTTGATGCCTACTTTTATAGGCAAAAAAAGGAAAACAAACGAGAAAAATATTCGAGAGAAGTGACGAAAAAAATATTTTAACAAAAAAACACTACTGTTTAGACTAACAATGAAATATTTTATGGTTGAGGGTATGGAGAATAAAAAGAGGAAAAAGTTTAAATAAGGGAGTTTTGTTTTTTGTTTGCAGGCTAAACTGTGGCCACCCTTGAATGTACACATTTTTTACGTAAAAATTCTTGGACAAAATCCAACGAAGAAGAAAGGATTCAATTCATTAAATTCGTTAACAATGTTTTTTTTTTTTCGATGTGATACTGTCATAAATTTATTATATTTATATTATAAGATTACAAATAAAATTAATGATAAAGAAAAACCAAAAATAAAAAGTAAAACAATAAAAAATTAAACTATAACTATCTCCTGTGATTCTATTATAAATCCGTTTGGATTGACCAATCACCAGAATATCTCTCAGAAAAAACCATAAAATCTATATTTGATGATTAGATCGTCAAAAAGATATTCAAATGAAATTGTCAGTACCTATCCAAGAAGTCAAACCAAGAAAAACCAAATTTCATAGCTGAATAACATCAAGTAATCCAACTATTTGATACATTTTTATTAGGGAATTTCATATTTGTAGGATGTTTGATCTTGACCTTTTTCTTTTTCAGTCTCATAGAGATGCCATGTCTCTTTTCTTCTTGAATTATTTTCTTACATTTAGGTTCCCAAATGTTAACATAAAAAACGTTAGTGAGAAAATTAGAAGTATATACAAGAAGACTTGTTGAATTAGAAGGAGAGAACAGCTCTTTAAGAAGTAAGAACATTTTGTTAGGAATGATTCCTTTGGCCAAGTGTATATAGGAGGTTAGGTTAAGTGAAGGGTCTAATAGATCTATGAGCTGATGTCTAATGGTGTAGTAAAGATTAAGCCTATTGTCATTTTTCCCAATTTTGTTTAAGACCAAACTGTCGAGGAAATTGAAAGTAGACAAGCAGATTTCTGTGATTTTCTGTATTCTATGAGAGCATGTTCACAAATGATGATAGTCTTCTTTAGACGATTTATAATAGATGCAAAACCAGTCTTTGTATAAATCAGGTCTTCTTACTGAGAGTTTGTCTATTGTGGGTAGTTCGTCAGTTAAGGATTTTAGTTTAAAGCCTTTTCTTTGTCTTTGAAAAAATGAGGTAGCGGCTGAAGCATCTCCTATATTTGAAGACAATACTAAAAAAGAGGTTGGCCAATGAATGTCAGAAGAATGGGTTTGCTGAATTAATTGTGAATTTCTATTGAGGTCCAAGAATGTTGAGAATTGTTTAGCTGTATTGAGGTTTTTCTATAGTTTTCTGGTTGAAGATTCAACAGGAATTTGGTTAAAGTTGAGAAGAAGCTGTAAATCATAATAAGTTGTAAGATTAAGTAATAAAGGCAATTTAAAACATCCAGTCTTTGCTAAGCTATCAGCTATATCATTGTAATACAGTCAACTCTCTATAAATGCATTCTCTATAAATGCACACCCTCTATAATTGCACCCTTTAGCCCAGTCCCTAGTTCAGG